TCTGTCTCTGTCTCTGTCTGTCTGTCGGCCTCTGTCTGTCTCTTCGTCTGTCTCTCTGTCTCTCTTCTTCAACACAGCCGAAGGAAGAGCCGGCAAGCCCTCCCCTGCGCACGAGTGCGCACTGGTTTGTCTCTGGGTGTGAGCTCTCTCTCTCTCTCTCTCTCGTCCCGTCTGTCTTTCTGCCTGTCTGTCGACATGTCTGTCTGTCGGTCTGTCCGTCAGTCCGTCCGTCCGTCCGTCCGTGTCTCTGTCTCGCTGTCTCTCTGTCTCTCTGTCTCGCCGGCTGTCTGTCTCTCCGTCTCTCTGCGTCTGTCTCTCTGTGTCTGTCTCCCTGTCTCTCGCTCTCTCGCTCTCTGTCAATCTCTGTCTCTCGCTGTCTCTGTCCGTCTCTGTCCTGGCCTGTCCTGCCTGTCTGTCTGTCGGTCGGTCTGGCTGTCTCTGTCTGGTTGTCTGTAGGTATGTAAACAATGACAGCGTAATATATAAGTACATAGACATCTTTTGTTATACATATGTATATATATATATATATGTATATATATATATATATATTGTATGTGTGTACTTTGTGACCCGATAGGTTCAGCTGAGGTCGGCACGCAAGCAGCCAGGAAATCAGCGGATTTGGGCTTTCTCCTGCTGGAGTCTTGGGCCCTTCAGTTTTAGGCTGCGGGGATGTAGGGGGTTGGCTTGTTAGGGGCGGTGTGGGTGCCTAGGTTGGGGCTTCGTGTCAGAAGCTTGCGCTAGTGTGCAAACGAAGCGGTGAAGTGTGCAAAAAGAACAGGGTCTGCCGGTGAAGTCGAGTTGGCTGTCGGTTCTTTAAGTTAGGGGTCCCTAGCTTTTACGGATCCGTCTATTGAGTGTCTTCGTGGGGGTCCCTAAGTTCTGAAAGCGCCACATTCAGTAGGTGTTAAAACCAAAGCGGTCATTGCCCGCATCGTCATCGCTATCCCCATCCTCATCTCTGTCCTCATCTCCGGTTTATTCCTACTCTGCTCATGATCAGGCTGTCGAACCTAGAAGACTATCCCACTGATCACACAGGTCGGTCATGTTGTAAACGCGCCCGAAAGAAAGCTGCGTATTCTATGGCGCAAAAAACCACCCTCCAACACGACAGTGGGGACGGCAAGCCTATAAACCCCAGAACCCTATCTAAAATGAACCCCCGACGATAAAGCTTTGAACCCTTGTAAAGACGCAAAACAAAACCAGAACGAAACCAAAGCCCATAGGCCCCATAGTAGTTCCTTTTCGGGGTTCATATTTAGAATCCTAGAAAGTAATCCCAAAAAGGAACTACTATGAGGCCGACGGGTAGAGACAAAAAGCCCCAAAAGCCCCAAATCAGTTTTTCGTCGGCCTTCAGTGCGGTGAAGGCTCTGAAAAGCCGTCCCCGGATTTCCTGTCACGCGGCTGTCAGGCTACAGATACGGTTCAGGGCTTTGGGTTTCGGGTTTAAATTTAGGGTTTAGGGTTTACGGTTCAGGGCTTTGGGTGCAACCCAAGAATGCTCGTATGAATGTAGAACCCTACCTAAGGGAGGGTTCGGAGAGCATGCAGGCTTCCACGGGCTTCACGAATCACTGCGACTGCAGTCTGCAGCTTCATTTAGTGCGGGAGCTTGTGACAGGAGCGGTCATCAAAACCACACTAGCATCGCTGACATCAGTATCTTCGCCGTCGTTACCAGCACCACGAACATACACCCATCATCATCATCATCATTATCATCATCATCATCACCATCACCATCACCATCACCATCACCATCACCATCACCATCAGCAGCAGCAAAGGCTGATCCATCGGAGCGTGTCCGGGTCACATACTGCTTTGTGCGCGAGGTGGTATGTCTTTGGTCCATGAACTGGGAACCTATCGCGCTGAACTCACCCGCTTTGCCATGGTGTTTGGCAGCGGATGTGGTGGCTACAAAAACACGCTTCACTTGCTCACTGCGTCGCCCAAGCTCTTGGCGCCACTCTTGTCGAAGGCGGTCTTGCCAAGGTACACAAGCAATGCCGCTGTGAAGAAGAGCAGGTAAGACAGGTCGGAAGAGGTCGCCTCCTCGTAGTAGATGGGGTTGTCGAAGTTGCCGTTGTACGGAAGATCGGCAGCGAAGGCGGGCTGAACAACCCTCGGCGTCTCGCACACACATGCTCGTGTCAATTCTTTCGCATCAAACTCAGCAACACATGCTTCGACATGCCTAGAATTGCCGCTGGTTTCTGGGCCCCCAGCACCATGGGTGCCAGAGCAGCGAGGACGTCGGCGCGAGGCATGTCCTTGGGCGCAGCCACGAAGGCCGTGCTGCGGCAAAGTGCGGCCACAGCCGCGGCCAGCAGCATCAGCGACATCACGCGACGAGCCATGACTATGCACTACGGAGAACGTCTGAGGCAAACTCTGAGCCAGTGAGCAGCACTGCAGAAACGAACAATACTCAAGCCACTGATGGCTTGCCTTTGCCTTGGGAGACGTGCTGAGAACAAACATGGACGAAACGGGCGTTCAATTCCCTTTGTTCCCTGGCTGCAGCATGCACGCGCAGCTACAGACGGGCTTGCGACAACTAGAGCTATCGCACGGTACAGGCCTCTAACGACCGTAAAAACACGCTTCACTTGCTCACTGC